CCGTATGAGGCAAGACTGAGGGAACTGGGTCCCTTCAGCCTGGAGGAGACTCAGAAGGGAGCTGACATGCAGGTACGTGAGGGGATGCCACGCAGAGGTGGGTCATGACCTTTCCCCCCCTGCGGTAGGGTAGACGGCAGGACACATTCCAATGGAGCAAAGCTCAGAGAACCAAGATTTAAGGGGGATGCCAGGAAGTACTTCCTTATGGTTAGGGCCCCTAGGGCATGGAATGGGCTTCCACCGGAGGTGATTGAAGCCCCAGGAAGATCCTGCAGTCTGGGTGGGTATATGTAGGAGGAGACAAGCCTGCAGGTCACCTGGCCCCAAGCCTTTTAGGGCTTGCAATGTTCATGCCAGCATTTTGAACTGGACCAACAAGCAGGACCAATTCGCTGCCGCCTCCTTCTCGTGGAGGTACAGATTTAACCAAATAAATTAAATTATGGGGGACTGATTCTGCTTTTTATAAAGACACTGATAGCGAGGCTGATGGTCTTGGATGCTGGTGATGAAGACTAGCACGTGGAAGACAGATGGGTTGACAGAGGAGATGTGCAGTGCCCCCCAGCCATGTTCCCACCCTCCCACACATTTTTGTGTCAAGGGAGTTTGGTCGCCAAGTGAGCTGTCCCTGAAGTCAGTAAAAAAAGCAGGCTGTGTGTAGCTGACTGCTCCAAACTGTTCTTTCTCGGGACAGATCAGTTGTACAGGCAAGTTGTGCCAGGTTATTGAATGCCCTGAGGTCACCGACCCATTGCCAGACAACTGGCTTTTTAAGAGAGTATGAGGGGGCAGAGAAAGTATATTGGGACTTTGGACGTGACAGACAGGGAAATGTGCAGCCCACCCACTCTCAGACTGGGCTGGACAACTAATCCTGCATCGTGCACGCCGAGCCAGCAAACGCGACGGAGTGGGGAGAAGAAAACTATTTCCAATTTCGGCTTCCACCTTAACAAAAAACAGAACATGGTAGGGGAGCTGGAAGAGAGCAGCCAGCTCCCCAGAGAGGTTAGAGCAAAAACTCGTCCATCATATCAGGATCAAGGCAACAGAGGCAGAGGAAATGAATGTAAGTGCATTCGACCACTAGGTGCTACTATTGCTCCATGGAATTCGATAGTGGCAGTTACTTTTGTCTCTGTAAACTGAGAGACAGACATTGCTGCCAATGCCGACTACACTGGCCAGGGCTGATGGGAGCTGTAGGTCATGGCATCTAGAGGTGTCCCCGGTCTAGTTCATGGGTGGCAAACTGTACCAGTGTCACAAGCAGCCCTTGGAGGGACCACAGCTGGACGTGGGCCCTTGGCATGCACCCAATTATGCTTGTCCTTGATACTAGCTCTGCTCTGAGCTACAGGGCCTTCACACATATAGAAGCCAAAATGTATTGTGTATTCTAGGAGGATCCACTTTGGCAGATAACTCAGAAAGTATGAACAAGCTCTGCAAAACCTGCTTTGAAAACTGCAGCCTGAAGGAAAGTCTTTCTAATCAACCCTGCCTGCCATTACCGTTGTTGTTGTTGTTAGTTGTGAAGTCTGACCCATTGCGACCAACATTCCTCCAGGCCCTCCTGTCCTCCACCATCCCCCAGAGTCCACCCAAGCCCACACCCACTGCCCCAGAGACCCCATCCAGCCACCTCATCCTCTGCCGCCCCCTTCTCCTTTTGCCCTCAATTGTTCCCAGCGTCAGGCTCTTCTCCAGGGAGTCTTTCCTTCTCATTAGGTGGCCAAAGCATTTGAGTTTCATCTTCAGGATCTGGCCTTCTAAGGAGCAGTCAGGGCTGATCTCCTCCAGGACTGACCGGCTTGATCGCCTTGCGGTCCAAGGGACTCGCAGGCGTCTCCTCCAGCACCACAGTTCAAAGGCCTCAGTCCTTCGGCGCTCAGCCATTATCTTGCATGGCTTTAAATTCTTTTGCCCTTCTAGGTTGCATTGCTGCCCACCTTCTGTAGGTGAGAGGAGAGACCACCCCAAGGCAAAAGGAACCACAAGCCCTTAGTGGAGTGCTTGCTCAATGACCAATCATCCCCCGGTGAACAGCGAGCATGGCATCCCGCTCCAGGGTGTAGGTGGCAGGAGTCCAGGTAAAAAATTTTTATTTTGATGTATTTATTTGGGTATTTTTACCCCGTCCATTACCCAGTGGGTCCCTAATGCACTGGGACCCAGGTAAAAGGACCCAAGCAAGGCAGAGCCCAATAGTGGAGTCTGGATCACATGCAAAGAGCAGGCTCAGGGCAAGAACCAGAATATGCAGGGCAGCTAAGCAAGAACGTGGTCACAAGCAAGCCAAAGGTCAATCCCTGGTAAGACAACAGAGCAAGCACAAAGGAAGCAGCTTCTGGAGGAAAGGGCGAAGAAAACTTCTGAAGGAGCAGTCCAGCTAAACCTCTTATATAGCCTTTCCCCAGGGCTCCCAGCTGGTGCTCACCAAGGGCATGGAAGCTCCAGCAGGATGGGGACCAGCCCTGCAAATGCTAGGGTGGTTGTTCCAGTTTTTGACCAGCAGATGGAGCCCTGGAACCACCCAGGTCCTCAGGCAGGGCTGCTGTCCTTCAGTCTAGACCGGTTCCATTCCCTGTCTGCAGCCATCAGTCCTTTGCTGCTGTCCCAGCTTCTGTGCTGTTTCCCCCCCCCCCCCCCCCCCAATCTGAAAGGTTTAAATGTCTCTCCCAAGGCTGAGTTCCTGGAAGTAAGAGGATTAAGCTTAGGTAGGGCTGGTCTTTTTTTGCATTTTGGCCATGGCTCGTTTGCCTTCCACCCTGCTCGCTGGTGGGAGCACCCCTCTCCTCCAGAGTTTATCCAAGGCAGAATTTGCCACACAGTTCAACAGAATAACAGTTGTGCAAATCAGCACATAGATAAGATAGTTTGGTCCTTCACCAGGTCTTTTCTTTCTCAGCTAGAATTCCTGCTCGATAGGTGTTGATATCAAAACCAGAGCTGTTGATGTTTCCACCTTTGCACTTTGCTTGAGATGCAGACTTTCCTGGGTAAGGGTGAGGTTTTTTAATATTTTTAAAAATGCCTTTCTTCCTCCAAGGGGAGGAAGGGGCAGATCCAGGTGAAACCTGAAACCGTCACAGCAGGTGCTATGGCCATCATCCTCATCCTCATGATCAAGCTTCCCCTGAAAAGTCCGGTGCAGAGTAACAACCAAACGGTGCACTGGAACCTGTGGAACTATGCTACAAGAAACCTGCTAATGCACCATTGTGCATCAATAAATCTACAATTTAATTCATCAATTAATTGGATTTATATCCTGCTTTTTCTTACACTGAACTCAAAGAGGCTTACATCATTCTCCTCCTCCTGCTTTCAATCTTATCTGCACAACAACAACCCTGCAAGGTAAGTTGGGCTGAGAGTCCACGGCTGACCCAAAGTCACCAGTTAAAGGCTGCTGGCATCAGTGAAAACACCCAGTCAGTTTCCTACCTGCTTTTTACAGCATCTCGTCTGATGAAGAAATTCAGAGATCTGGAAAGTTTGGTTCATTTTTGGCCATGGCTTGGTTAGTCTGGTAAAAGTATTACACAAATGCAGAGTTCAAACAGTTGTCTGCTTTACACGGTTCTTGCTGCAATACCAGGTTGGGGAAATCTATGCTATGATGGCATATACCTAATTAACATGCTCAGGAGTGTCTACTGAAGTCAGTGAGGCTTACTCCTGAGTAAAGGTAGCTAGGATGACACCTTATACATGTCTCTGCATTCCAGGCACAAACCCCTCAGTTGCTTCCTCAAACACTTTTAACTAAGACACCAGGAAGAGAGAATGTAAGCTGCTTTGGAAAAATAAAAAGTGGCATGTAAATCTAATAAATACATAAATAAAATCTATATGAGAACAAGGGGATCTGGGATGTACATGTCCCAAGATGTTATGTTTAGGCCCCAATTCCCAGCAGCCCCAGACAAGTTAGGGAAGATGGGACTTGTGGCCCAACACCATCCGGCACCTCCAGTAGCACTTACGAGAGGGCCTCCCAACATACCCAATTCTATGGGTACCCAGATTTTTTTTAAAGCGATGATGCAACAGTTATGTATGAAATGCCCACAGCTTTCCAACAATTATTCACTGGCTTCAGCAAAATCAGATGAAATACCCAAGCAAGTTTCCATTCACAAACAGGGCCGTCTTAACAACATTATGGGCCCCTAGGACAACTACAACTACTGTTAATTTTGGAAGTTTTCCAATTTTCCAAGGGTTAACATACACAGATTACTATGGGGCCCATGCCTTAAGAAGGCCCTGTTCACAAGTGGAGAAGGCAGAGAGCTCTGACTACAGTGCAGTACAGAAATGAAATGAATAAATAAAAAGCAGTGCCTATACACCTCCCGTTCAAACACTGCAAAAGTAGGTAGGTCCACAATCCATTACATTACAGGCAGCGAGGGTTGGCCCTTTCCGTTCTGTAATATCAGCCTTTTAGCTGTCAAAAGAGTGCAGAAAATCCTCTTCTCTTTCCGTTTGTTAATTGCTACGGAGGTAAAGGATCTAAAATAGCAGGGACATCAGCAAAGGGTAAACACCGTCCCAGGAAAAGGTTCCTCTGTGCAAGAACCCCTTCCCGCAACAGCATCTCCCGGGCGCGGCCTAAACAGGTTTAAGAGAAATATTTGCCCGGGAGCACCTACAAATCAGACAACCCCGCATTAAAGAGCCGCTTCGCTGCATGAATGCCGGAGCATGGGCGCCGCTTCCCGGCGGAGGCCGCGGCAGCGTCCCACATTGCAAAATGTCCCCGCAAGTCCCCACCGGGGCGCCTGCCGTGGAGGGCCCGAGAGGGCCGCTGAGACGCCCGAGGAGAAGCGCGAAGAGGCCGCGCCGCTCCGGTTGGACTCCCGCCTGCGTAGAGAGGCGCCCAGGGCGGCCCCGCCCCGCCCCGCCCCGCCCCTCCTTCCGGGCGGCCCGCCCCTGGTAACCGCGCCTGGCAACGCCGCGCCGCTGCCTGGGCGGGGCCGGCGGGACCTCGGTGCCCGCTCGCCGGCTTGCCTTCCCACGCGAGGCCGAGGCTACGCGGCCTAGTCCGGGGCGGGATGCTGAAGCTGAAGGTCCTCTTCGTTGGCCCCAGAGAGGTGAGTGCGCGCCGCAGGCCTCCTCGGGGGAAGGGAGAGCCCCTCGCCTTTCCCTTCTCTCCATCTGGCCCATTGCATCGCCTCCACCCTCCATGGAGGCATGGATGCATTTGCTTCACATACAGGGATTCAGTATTATATTTGCGCCCTACCTTTTCCCCCGCTTGCAAGGAACCGAAGGCCCTCCTCTTTTCCGTTTTATCCTCACAACAACCCTCCGAGGTAGGTCAGGCCGAGACTCCGTGACTTGCCCAGAGTCTCCAGGGAGCTTCCTGGCCGAGCAGGAGCTGGGAACCAGGCAGGTGGCCTATGTGGTCTTCCTGCTCTTCATATTAGCCTCACAACGACCCTGTGAGGTAGGTGAGGCCGAGAGTCCGTGACTCGTCCAGCCTGGCCGCCCAGGAGCTGGGAACTGGTCTCCTTATTTCCAGCACCATGCTCTCACCACTATGCCACACTCCCATTCCCGACCTAGACTGCCTAACCCGTAGTCAGGTGGTTTGTGTGGTCTTCCTGCTCTTCATTTTAACCTCTCAACGACCCTGCAAGGTAGGTCAGGCTGAGAGGCTGTGACTGCCCTGAAGGCAACCCAAGCGCCTCAAAGCCGAGTGGGGCTTCACGCCCGCATCTCTCGAGTCCTAATCCATGCCCTGGACCATGGCATTTGTTGGGCTGTGAACCATGAATTCTTCATCATGGTTTGTTATCTCAGCTGAGTTCAGACATCCCAACAACTAATATTTAAACAATAACTCATGATTCAACAAGAAACCCAGACTTGACCTTTGTCTAAACCCAGTCACTGTGAGGATAAAATGGGATCCCAAGTGCTATTATCCCTGGCCCATGGACAGGTTGGCTGGAGCTGATGGTAGCTGGAGTCCACCAACATCTGGGGACCAGAGATTCGCTACTCCTTCCCCAAAGCCTTCATCAAGGCAAAAACCAGGATCAAAATACTTCTTCCAGTCCTGACCCTTTTAGCGCTATGCAGTATTTCAGGGTTTCACCAAGCACTACAGGGAGCAGCCCTGGGTAAGAGCGCCCTTGGTCATAGCTGCAGAATAAACCACGGCCTTTACTTGTAGGCCCTTGCTTATTCTGATTATTGCTAAATCTCACTTCTCTGCTCATTTTCAACAGGCTGGGAAGTCTGTTTTGGCAAACTTCTTGTCAGAAACGACTGAGAGCATTGGCAGCTACATGCCGACACATGGAGTCAGGTGAGTCTTGGACAGGCACCCTGGAAGGGCTGTATGGTGACATCCCACCAAAGCACAGATCTCTTTGTGCAGCAGATTTGCAAAATCTGAAGTCTTCCCTTGAAATCAACTGCTGGGTTCTCTCTCTGTGTTAAGCCACTTCACTGGTTTCACCCAAGTTTATATTGGTTTTCCACAAGGCTGCCTTGACCCGCCAGGTTCTTCTTTCAGAGGTGAAATGTAAAATTCTAGTACACACACATCCAGCCTGTGCAATTTATTAGTAAAGCCTTAAAATGGGACATGTTTACACAGCATTGTAAATAAACTCCTGGCCTGCAAGAAAATGTGCTAACCTGCTGAAGAGAGACAGAGAGCTGCCTTTGTTTTACTCGGCCTAGAGGTGGATTGGAAGCATCCACTAGCTTGCTTGGTTTCTGTGCTGAACTTGGAGAAGAGATGGAGTGTCTCCTTTTTTTCCACCAGCCTTTTCACTCAGCTCTGTGGAATTCCTTTCCTGGGACAATCAAGGTGGGTATTTAAATACAACAAGAAGATTACTTTATAATGTAGAAAGTGTTAAGAAATGTGCTTATCACATAACACTGGTTAAGAGGTTAGGAACATGCATCTAGAACTGGGACCATCCAGATATGGATAGGAACTCCACCTCCTTCCTTCAACAACGTTCACTGAATGTCAGCTTTATTTGCTCCTATAAAGCAAATAATTTATTTGCTCATCATCTTATATTTTAGGATCCTAGAATATGAGAAGCCGCTTAGCAGTGGAGCAGGGTGTCGATTTGAACTCTGGGATTGTGGAGGGGATAAAAAGTAAGTGGGCCTCTTGTATACCTTGCCAACTCTCAGTTCAACAGAAGCTCAGCTGTAGCTGAGGAAGGTTAAATATTGTTTGGTATGACAAACCATGTCAGAATTGGAAATGACTGTTTGAAGACGGCACTGCACACCCTGCTGTGTGCGAACTACAGTTGGGCAAACGTCTGAATCAAAAACCATTGCTATGCTTCTGGAGGCTGTTGCACCAGGGAGGTGGGAGTGCATTTATAGAGTGGCACATGAGAAAACGCCATCCTTTGTAATCCTGGAACCCCAAGGAGGGTCATCCCGGGAAGCTGGTGGGTGGAAGATCCAGGGCAGATCAAAGGAAGGGCTTCCTCACAAACTGTGAGTTCCATAGTTGAACTATGGAATCCACTTTCCTTGTAGAACTTGGGATCCAACCCCAATGATGTTTGGGGTCAGGGATGGGCCTCTTTACAGGGTGAGCTACCATGATCAGCCCTGTCACAAAGCAAATGGAGCAAGGGGGACAGGCCAAGGTACCACCAGAGTCTGTTCCAGTTGGACTTCTCATCCACCCCTCTCATAGAAACAGAGCGAGTCAGAAGGGGTCTCCTGGGCCATCTAGTCTGACCCCTGGCTCCAGCCGGTTCCGCTCATGACACGCCTACCATGTGCATGTCTAGCCTATCCTTGAACTCCCCCAACAATGGGGCTTCAACCACCTCCTGTGGAAGCCCATTCCTTACCCTCGGGGTCCTAACTGTCAGGAAGTATTTCCTGGCATCCCCCCTAAATCTTGGTTCCCTGATCTTTGCTCCATTGGAGCATGTCCTGCCCTCCTCTGCAGGGGAGAACAGGTCTTTACCCACCTCCATGTGACACCCCCTTTTCTCCATCCTCATGAGGTGCAACCTGTCCCTTGCCAGAAGTCCATTGGCAAGAAACCGGGTGCCATGGTCAAGGAACCCGAAGTGTTCCCTCTGGCACCACACCCTAAGCCAATCGTTCACCTCGGCGACCCTCCTATCCCTGCCTGGCCCAAATCCCCGATCTGGTAAAATGGGGGAAAAGGCCGCTTGGGCCTTCAGCTCCCTGAGTTTCTTCCCCAAGGCCTCCAGGTCCCTGGTGATCCTGCCCACACCCTGCCTGGTTATGTCATTCATCCCCTTGGAGATGAGAGCATAAGCTGGAAGCTTGTTTAAGTTTTTCTTCCTCCTTGTCTCTTTTAGATTATAAGGTTGTGTACAGAGACTGCCTTGCTTTTATTGGTTCTCCAGAGATGCGAATCTGGTCCCCTGGGCTTCCCCCAAGGCTGTGGTCCTCTTCCTAGCCCCGCACCCTTATTCCGAATGTTGGTGGCCTCTTGACATTTGTGTGCACCCTCCCATTCTAAAAGGTTGCAGTGGATCTCCAAAGGCTTTGCTACTGTCCGAAAACACCATAAGCTATGATTTGCAGATAATTGGGGCATTTTGGCTCCTCTCCTTTTGCATTCAGTCGCCCAGCCCTGTGCCATGAGAATTTGGCCCCTGCGAACGCCTGCAGCTGCAGTTTGGCCCTTGGCCTGAAGTTCTGTACCGCTGAGCTAGAGGGCAGGCACTGGACCACACCTGAGAATGCCTCCTTAGAAGCACAAAAAGCCCTTCCTGCTCGGCCCCCTGCTTGTGGGAAATCCGCATGCAGGACAGGCTTGCCCAGGCCATTTCCAGGATGCCCAGATGTACAGATAGGTTCCTAAGACTGGAACACCTGGCTAGGCAAATACCAGATGTGTCTCCGGGAACATTGCCAAGCCACCAGATGCCCTCTTGCTCTTTCTTGGCGTCAGCCACCCATGACAGCTCTGCAAACCTGCTGCGGCACCCCATCCCAAAGCAGTACCCCAGTGCTTCTAGACAGGCTGTCTCTCTGTGGCTTTCCCAGGTTTGAGGCGTGCTGGCCAGCTCTGATGAAGGATTCCCATGGGGTCACCATCATCTTCAATCCAGACCTGCCCAGCCACCTGAAGGAAATTGAGATGTGGCACTCCTGCTTTGTCCAGCACCAGCCGCTGCTCGAGAGCCAGTGCCTGCTCATTGCACATCACAAGCCCGGCACTGCAGGCGACATCGAGAACCTCGACTTGCGTAAGGCCACCCGCCTTTCTTTCCAGTTCTTGCCTACATACCTAATGGATGCTTGCCAGTTGTGGTCAGTAACCATTTCCCTCTTCCACTTCAAAGCTTCACCACTGAAAAGGCTGCAGCTGATCTACTCCAACCTCGAAGAAGATCCTGAGGACGTTCGGATGGAGTTTATGAAGTATCTCAAGAGCCTTGTCAACTTGGTGAGCGAAAACCGAGACAGAGAGGAGATGTCACTTATAACTTAAAGCAGGGGAAATGTCTGGCAGGGCTCACTGGGTGTATGTCCTGATGGGCTGTCAAGTTGATCTTATGTAGAATATGGACTTACTTATTTTATGCTTCTATGTTTATGATAAATAAATATTAGTGAATGTATTTGCCAAGCTTCTCCCCTTTAGCAGTAACAGTCTCACCAGTGCTTCTTTGCCAGATGACTTTATTTTACCTGCAAGGTTCCAAACGTACAAAGTGCAAAATGTTGAACCCTCTCTGACGTTCTTCACCCAGAGCTTCCCTTATGAACCCTTCTGCATCTGTCCCTGTGGGGAGCAGCACTGTGGAAGCAGGCATGCCTGCACCCCTCCCTTGGAGACGCCAGCTGGGCTGTCCTACAACTGTCGGGTCCACTTCCCAGAAGCCCCAGTTGGGCCTCATCCCCATCCGGCAGGCTGCCCATCTCTAAATCCCCCTCCTCAAGATGTTGTTGCTTTTCCCCGTTGCCGTGGGCGGGTGGACTGGCCCCCTCGTCTGCCCTCGAACTAATCTCCCCATAGCAGACACAGGCAGGAACCCCTGGGCCTTGGATGGAGCTGGAACTGGGTCCATTTCAATAAGCATCTCATGATCAGAGTGGTCAGTCCTGCCAGAATAGGCAGCCTCCCATACCCACAACTTATCCTTTGATTCTGAACTGTCAGTCCTGCCAAAACAGGCGACCTCTCATGTGCAGGTCTGTGGTATGACAGAACACTCACGCATGACAATGTAAGGCTTTCTTTCTTTATTTAAAACTTTTTTATATCATTCTTATTTAGTCAATGACTCTCAGGGTGATTTACAATGCATTAAAAATTTAAACGCATAAGAAGCATCATCATACACATTTAAGCAACCACAGATGAAATAAAGCACAATAATAAGAAAAACACATAAATTCAAAAGTATGATCTAATTCTTTCACACAAATGAAGGCTGGTCGGTAAGTAGAGATGCGAACCCCATAGCCATTTCCCTTCGAAAATGCTGCTCAGACCCAGATCCGCTTCATTTCAGTTGACCTTTTTTTCCTGCCACGTGCCTTCAAGACCAGGCTTCTCTGATCTGGCACCCTCCAGGTGTGTGGGGGGCTATAACTCCCATCAGATAGCCTGCTGACAGGAGTTGATGGGATATAGTCCAACCCATCTGCAGCGCACTAGGTTGGGGAGGCTGTTCCAGAGCATACTTTTGATCCCAGTTTGCACATCCTTTGGAGTCGCTCAGAGACGCGAGTGGAGCCACCTTTATTTCACGCTGCAGTGTTCTGTGAAGCACTTCCAGCACCCCCGGGACATAGGAAAGATTTCCCTCTGAACTGCAACATAACTGGGAGAGGCACCCTCATTTGGGCCCCTCCAGACAATCAAGCATTTTCAGTGCTGGACTCTAACCCTTCCAACCATTCCCGAAAGGCCATCCCCATCTTTGGTGCTTCTGCTCTTCAGGGCCTGGTCTGAAGGCCCAGGAAGCATCAGCCTTGCTGTCCAGGATTTGTGGGTGCCTGGGGTGGGGTGGGGGAGAATGGCTTAAGAATCAAGAGCCATCCCTCAGTTTCAAGGAAGGAAGTCAGGAAATAGTTATGAGATTTAAACAAATGTGACTTAAAACACATGCTGGCAATATAGGGTGTTCGTTTCAGTTTGCCTGCCAGTCAGCCAGACTCTTTCCCATGATGTTCCATTACATTCCTGCCAATCGAGTTTCTCCTGCAACAGGCAGTTTGCCAGCAAACCACTTACTCAGCCTCTAAGATGCTTGATCCTCACCAGGCTGTTGGGGTTTAGCGGGATGGTCCCCTGCTTTGGATTTCGCCCCTCTTTTCTAGTTCTACAAATCTTGAGATCCCCTGTGCACACCTATATCTTCTGTTTCTCTGTGTGTTTTGATTACATATCCATCATAGCTCAGCAGTTAAACTGTCTAGTGGTATTTATAATTCCTAAAATAGAGGCGGTCCAGCTAAGCCTTGTGGCCTTGGCTCAGTGGCGAGGCCAGACAGTCGGCATATGTGCCCAGATATAGCTGATTTCACATTTTCTAGAGATGAACCAAGCTCTGGGGTGCTCTGACCTTGATTAAACTTTCAGTCCCATTCACACCATGTCATGCACCTGTGAACTGAACTTGAGAAAAGGAGAGCAACCCCAAAATCACGTCCCGGTCCAAAACTAAACACTTGCAACAAATGCTTTCCGCCTGCCCTGCTATGCATTTTCACGCTTTACCCCATGGGGGGAAGTGAACATCTGGGGTGTGTGCCTTTAAAATGCAAATTTTTCCCACGTGGAAGAAAAAGACCCTTGCATTTGGGAACAGGAACGTGATAAAACAAGCCCCAGAACGGAATTCAGAGGACCTCTATGAGTTCGAACATCAAATATTCATCCACACCCAGAACGCATCTCCGAGCAGCAACCCTTTAAGGAAGATGAGGCCGGAATTCTTCATCCACAATCCAGCATGTCTCAGCCAGCCTGCCTCCAGATGTGTTGGACTACAGCTCCCAAAATCCCCAGTTGGCATGCTTGTAAAGGGCTATGGGAGCCGTAGCTTAATATTTTTGGCAGGCACCAGGTTGTGGGCAGCTGCTATAGCAATACTTTTTAAAAAAACGTTCTTACTGTTTGGTTTATATCCATCCAATGAATTCCTTTGGCCCTCAGACACGCCACGGGTGCCAGGGCTTGCTTCAGCACTTCTGCTTTGTTTCGATGGTTGCAGTATTTTCTGATCCGTGCCCTGTCTCTCAGCTTAATCCTGTTATTGGTGCTCTCTTTTCTTTTGCTGCCTTAACTTTCTGTCTTCTCATTTTAAATCATGCCTTTTCTCTGTATGTTTCCCTTCATTGACTTTGTTTATATGACTTGCTATTGAGTTTAAAGGTTTCTCAGCCTTTTAAGTCTCTCAACGGCCTTATCTCTTTTTATCTGCCTTCTTGCTTTCTCCCTCTCTAGGTCCCTCTGTTCAAAACATGGATCTTCCTGTGAAACCTCTGTCCCCTTTTGCTACCTTGCCTACTTGCCCGAGCGTTTCCTCTTTTGTTCCCTTTAAATACTTGGCTGGCTTCTTCTTTGGGTGACATAAAATCCTACGCATACCACTGAATTCAGTGAGACTCAGTTCTAGCAATGGCAGCCTCCATGATTCAAATAAAAACTGATCTTCAGTTAATGTTCCTCTTTTGTTCCTAGTTTTCACCTAGGTTAATTATGGGATTCTTTTACTTTTTCCTCTCATTTTTAAAGAGCGCTAGACTGAAGGTAGGGGTTCATATTGTCAGTCATTTATAATTTATTTATTTTTGTATTTATGAGTCGCCTTGTGGCCCAAATAGCTCCACCTTGGTAAATTACTATCATTTTGTTACATCTCCGGATACATATTAGGTACTTTTAGATAATCCATAATGTATTATGATGTTCTTTGCCATGTACCTTCACCCTTGTAGGACATTCCTAAAGGTCACATAAAGGTGGTGTCATTACCATAATCCCAGAAAAGGCATGAAAGGTGTATGTTTTTACAGGAGAAACTAAGAAATCCGCTGCCTTGCAATTAGCAGAATGGAGCAGCATTATCACAGGTATGTGTGAATGTCAGACGGACAAACCTTGTTCTTAAAAGCATGCGTCTGTCTGCCTATCTTTTTATTGGTATCTCCAAAAATACATATATTTCTTATTTTTGGCCTGCCCCTAATTTAGTGCATTATACAGCAAGGTTTAATTTTGGCAATATATGAGGATAGAAATGCCAGCATAGGAGTTTTCCTAAGACCACTTTTTGCTCAAGCTGGATGACACAAAAATAATTATAACACCTTTAAAGCATGGTTGGACCCTTGCCTGTAAGTGGCCAATACTGCAGGGGGAAAAGCGGGTTGTATTTTATGATAAAGGTAGTGAAACTTGGGAGATAAGGTTCTAGCTCCATTCAGCCATGAAGCTCAGTGGATGACTTTGGGCTGGTCACTGATGCCAACTAACCTATCTAATGGGGTTGCTGTGTGGGTAAAATGGAGACCTTGTAAGCCGCTTTGGATTCTTTGCAAGAGGAAAAAAGGTGGGGTATAAATGTAACGGAGGGATAATAGTTGTTAAGCCCTTGGGAAGCAAAGGACTGACTGGAGGGCACTGGATGGTGAAGGCTGCCCAGAGAGAAAGCAGTCACAGCTGTTAACAGATGTGCCCTGTTCAGAACTGCTTTGTTTTTGGCATCATTAGCACTCCCCTAGAAATGCTGGTTTGTTCAGAAACAAGGGTGGAAGGTGTGCTTTGTCCATAACGGGTTTCAGATCCAATCAGTATTTTGCCACAAGGAAAAACCATTTAGTTCATTCAGCACATGCGTCCCACTGGGGCACGGAAATTCTGTATTTAGAATCTTAATACAGATAGCTTTCAAATGAGAGCATTACAATTTGGCTATTTCAGCTTGTCGTCGATGCAAGCAGCATTTTTCCCTTTTTCCTGCCAGCATTTTTCATGGGGAGGGGGTACTCGCCTGCTTTCCGTCTATTTCAGAACCATGCACCCACATGGAATTTTTTAAGCAAGAAGAAAGAAATGACACAGCTTCCCAGTGGTTCTTGAGAGATGCGTAAAATGTTGTGGGGGCGTGGAGAGAAAAAGTTAATACAAGCAAACTTAGTGGTTCCATGACTTTATTGGAACAAACTTGTTACTGGAAGGACTCTTGGCAGTTTTGGGAAGTCACCCTACCTGCGAACTCCAAATTTCACCTACATTTTCGAAGCAGCATGTTATTAATCAGAAAGACCTGGTTTTGCTTAGCAATGGCTGTGTGTCATTTTTACTCTGGTGTGTGGTCCTAGTGATTTCATTAGGACCATGTGCATAGAGCTGACAAAGTCCTTGGGCATCTGTGGGGCACAGCCCAAAGTTATAAATGACAACCCTGATTTATTCAAATGTTTATGAAATGGCTGCAGTGAACAACTGCTTGGAAGCTGCAGGGAATGTGGAGCTACCCATGAAAGAGGAGACCTCCACAAGGGCCATATTTTAGCTAGCTGGTCAGAAGTCTCAAATTGTGGGACGCTCATAAAGCAGAGACTGGGGAGCTCTGATATGCTGTCCCTGCTTGCACTGGGAGTTAATTAATATGCAAATACAAAGACCCAGAAGGAAAGGATCCCAAGGAAAGGAAGCCTGGAAATTGGTGCAGGGGCCAAGCAAGGAAAGGAAGAGATGGAAGGAGGACATTAGATTGGTCTTTGAGAGCCACGGCTCTTACCTGCATGCCAGTGATAAATATTATGAGGCCCAATTGTACATCATGTCTTAGGATCTTTGGCTTAGCCTCTCCCATGCACTTCAAGAATCTATGGCCACCTGGTGTCTCCTGGGGTTTTAAAAAGGCCCTAACTTACCAATTACCATTTAACTCTGGCCTTACCTTAACTGTGTTTTAGTGGAGTGGGTGGTATTTGCACTTCTGCCTTATACTGGTGTTTCTTGTTTCCTGCTGTCTTTATTATTGCATCAGATATTATCAATATTATTGCATTGCATTTGTATCCTGCCATTTTTTCCTCATATGAGGAACCCAGGGTGACTTCCCTAGCTCCATTTTATCCTCACAACAACCCTGTGAGGTAGGTTAGCCCGAGTGTCAGTGACTGTCCCGAAGTTACTGGAGGAGCTTCATGGAGACCAGGACCCCGCTCTCCCAGGCCCCAAGTCCAGCACTTTAACCACTAGACAACACTTTATTGTATGTGTTTGATTCTTGCATGCCGCCTCGGCAGGGCTTCTGCCCTACAAGACAGCCTGGAAGTGTTTTTAATCACTTCATATCTGACGGACAATGACTTCATATCTAAACATGGGCAATCCATGGTTTTGTTGTTGGGTTGCAAACTGTGGGTTGCTTGCGGTTAACAGCTTGTAGTTTTTTGGACCCCTGGGTTCATGGAACATGACAACTCACATTTCAACAATGGCCCATGGTTTTATGACAACCCACACTTATCCCTTGTGTGAGAGTCAGTGTTTCTCTCAGAGTTGCCAAAGGACACAAGTGTGAAGATGCTATTGTACTCCCACAGACTTCCAGCAGGGCACCCTGGAAACCGAATGCCCTTTGGGCTGTTCCCACAGGGCTTTTCTTTTCATCTGTCATCATTTCTAAATTCTTATTTATTCCATACATATACACAAGAATATATAAGCAACACAGAAATGACTGCCTCCTTTCTGCTAATGTAGAAGTGATTATCCTACACATCTGTAAAGTCTTGTGAAATCTGCAGCTGTTAGTTAGAAGCAGCAGCATTTTGAACAGAACAGGAAACTGCTGGCCAAGGAAAGGGGGGAGAGCAAGAACGAACATGCCCAGGGGTACCTTCAGAGTACACTTGCACTGTATCAGTGCCCTCACATAAATTTAGGGGTGGGCTATACCGTATTGGTTCTTACTGCAGAACATCTGTTGTGGAAAATCAGGAACCCTCCATCTGGAGGCTTCCTCGGGCTGCAGTCTGGGATGGGAAAGGTGTGTTCCACCCTAAGGCATGTGCTCGCCAGAACTGCAGGTCCCAGAATTCATTTGTTTTGATTGGCATTTCCATTGCTGGAGAAGGAAATAGAATGTGGCTGCAGAAGCAGAACCTACAGAAGCCAGTGCAGCACGCAGAAGAACTGATCCTGGGGTGCTCCCAGATTGAGTTTTCCTAGTGCTAACAGTTCAAAGGTCTGGGGCAGATGTTCCATCTTTTCTCCTTATTTTTTTTCCTGGTAATTAAAAAAATGGACAAAGAGGTGGGAAAACATATAGAAAACAACATCTGGACCTACAGCAAAATCCTAGTAATTCTGTAATCAGGCAGTCAGAAATGTCAGTAAAGCAAACAAAGGGAAAGGACTCCAATAACCAAGGAGGCAGAACCTTGAGGTGGAATGGAGGGAGAGGGGAAAGGGCTCAGAAAACCAGCATGGAGGTGGGGAGGAGGGGTCTCCTTGGCTTGGCATGTCAGGGCAAAGGCAGATGTAACACTGGAGTGCAAGTGGTTTGAAAGGATTTGTGTTTTGAGGGTGGGGAACACATGCTAAGAATCGTGTCTTAAAGACTGCATTCATATTTGGGCTGGGGGTGCGTGACGCTGGCCTCACCATGGCTTGGTTGGCCTGTGATGAACTGCACCGTGTGCAGCGGCCATTATGAATAGAACCACCCCCATGGGGTTCTGGCATGTCATCCATTGTGGGCTATTTGGGGGCTAAACAACCCTTGGCTAACCCTCAATTTGTAGTAGGCCAAATATTTATTGGCTTTTTATTTCATTTATTAGGTTTTTTTCCTGTTTTTTTTTAACAGCAAATTCAAAGTGACTTACAGGTCTGGCACTCCTGCTGTACCCTAATCCATCATGCATCATGCACAATAGTAAAACTTAAATGCTTTGCCACCACCTCATTCACTGGCCAGAATAAGCAAGGCCTGTCAGGTACCCTCGACATCACAGCTCCGGAAAAAATCCTGGAGCTACTGGCATCCTTCCATTGCAGCACTGTGTACCTAGTTTGTGATCCGCTTTTATCAGTGAGTGGGGAGCATCTGACACAAGCCTCTTTCAGGCCTGCTCCAACAGTCCAGCTATGCCCCCTCCCAATGCTGCTTTTATTAATCAGGGGATCAACTGATTACTTTTGCAGGTACATTTTTCCTGCTGTTTTAGTTGTCTGGCTTCACTGATGTTTGCCATTTCTTTTTCATATTTTCTATAAGTTTTACTGACTTTTCTAGTTGAAAGATAAAAATACCCACAAAATATGTGAACACCCCTAGTCCTTGATTAAAGCTTCACACAAGTTGGGTTTTAATTTTCCTACAAGGCAAGGGCAAAAAGCCTTAAACCTTGTCTACAGGTTCCTGAAATGCACGTGTCCTGCCATGAGAGAGGATAAGAATTCTGTGTTCAGCTGCCTTCCTCAACGAATTATTTGGACTTAAGCTACCATCAGCCACAGGCCCTGGGAGTTCTAGTCTAAAACTTCTGGAGGGCACCAGGCTGTGACGGCTGCTCTGGCTTGCATTAAATGCAGGTGTTTTTTTCCTTGCCAGGTAAAATGCGAAATACCTCCAGCTCTTCTCTCAAGTGCAAGGGTCAGGAAGCTGCTATTTCCTCGCTGCACGAGGTGCAACCCAAACCCAGCTATTATTGCTGGTACAGTTGTTTCCATTTTATCCGTTTTCCTCTTGCAAGAGAACAAGCACTAAACCGTTTGGAGATTATTTTTAATAGCACTACATTGTATTATTACCACATCACTTTTGCACTCCGCCTTTCTTCCAAGGCGACCTACAGGATCCTCCGAGTCTTGATTCCTCTGTGAGGTAGGCGAGGCTGAGGGCCAGTCACCCAGCGAGCGTCGTGGCTGAGGGGGCCACTGGAGCGCGGACCAGCCCCATCGGTTGAGTTATGGGCGCACCATGGCAGGCAGACATCGGGTGGGAAGAGCTTGCGGGAGGCCTCGCTTCTAAGGAGGCTCTTTCCCGCCATCCCGCCTTCCCCCTCTCCTCGCTATACTCACGACAACCCTGCAAGGTAGGCCGCGCCTGGCCCGGACTCACCCGGGAACTTCCTAGTAGGGGGCGCGGGGGAATCGAGCCCGCGCCCGGCGCTCGCCACCGCGCCACGCAGAGGCCCCCCGCGCGCGCCCCCGCTGGCGGGCCCTCGCTGCGCATGCGCGCACCCCAATCGCCCGCCCCTTCGCCTGTCAGGATGAGGCGGCGGCGGCGGCGGCGGCGCCTGACGTAGCGGACCCGGCCTCGGCGGGACGGCGGCCAGCAGCCGGCGCGGCCATGGCCCAGCCCGGGGCCAGCCCGGGCCCGGAGCCGAGCGAGGGTGAGGGCGGCGGGCGCGCGGGCGGCGTCGGAGTCCGGGGGGCGGCGCGGCCTGAGCAGGCCCGGGGGCCTGGAGGGGGCGTGGGAGCTGAGGGGGGTGCGGGCCGCGGGCGGGCAGGGGCGCCCTGCGAGGAGACGGGGAAGCCCCCGCCTGCTGGGATGTGCGGGGAAGCCGCTCCCCCGCGGCCCCCGCCGCCTTCCAGAGGCGCTTCTCCCCGCGGCAGCCCCGTGTGCTTTGCCTTGGGAGCCTCCCGCCCTCGCCGCTCTCTCGCCTTCAGCTCCCCCCCCCCACATACACACACACAATTTCTCCTTATTTGCACACACCGTCTTAATAACGACTCCCTCCCCGGCACTGGTCCCTTCTCCTGCAGCCACCCAGCCTCTGCAACCCATGCTCCTGTTTTCCTCGCAGCGCTTCCCACCGCACAGGCTTCTTCCTGGTCCCTCTCCGCCCCCCCACCCCCACCCCCGCCCCCACTTGAATTATCCCTCCCCCCTCCAAGTATTTCCTCCTCCTTTCCTCCCCTTTCCCATCCCATAGTTCTTGCCTGCCTGCCTTCTCTCACGACCATCTTCCCCCTCCCCAGCACGATGCTTCCCCAGACTGTCTTAATTGCTTATGTGCCTCTCTTTCCACCCCGAGTAACCCCCTCCCTTCACTCCAGTAGATTCTTCCTTCCCCACCTCATTTATTCTTGAGTATGTGTCCCTTTTCTCTCTCCAGTACCTCCCGCCCACACACACATTATTTACCTGCCTCTTTTTTCCCCTTCAGGTATAGCCTCTGGTCTTCTTTCATACCACAGCCTGGCCCTCCTTTGTTATTCTGTGCTCAGAAATCCTGCAGCAACAGTGGTTTTGCATTCCTGGCTACGTGGCCCTCACCTTACTAGCCTGTTTTCTCCCACCGTTATTGTTTATCCCAGTTTCCTCCCCACTCTGCTTTCTCCCTTAATGGCAACCACTTCTTGAGCCTTGTAGTACTGTGCCTTAAATGCTGTTGTCTCTCCCGGCCTTAACGTTCATGGGCTAGAGAGTTTACTATATCAACTGCATGAACTGGTTACTTTAGTGACCAGGTTTATGTCCTTGCCTGTTTGGTCATGAGGCTAATTTATTGGTTAGGTTCTTAGGGTTATCATATGTCATTAAATAAGCCCAGCATTCAGATTATGGCCAACCATTGTAAACATGCTCTAAAAGCTTTGTTATGAAAATATCCCTCCCCTTTTCTCACTTGCAGCCATATTATGTCCCATTTCTTTCGCTTAGTCAGCCCCATGCAGAGCTAAGCCTTAAATTCTGTAGAACACACTCCTTCAAGCAGTTCCCCTTTCCTTTGGGCACCTGCTATTATACTTGTGGTCTTGCAGCCCTTACTTCTGAAAATTTTGTTGACTTAAAAACCCCTGGTGAATTTAATGGATAAGTCTTATGGGAGAAGCTATCTCGGAGAAAGAGCGCACATGTTCCATGTGGGGGTAGACATGTTTGGTCTGTAAAATGAAGTGACAGCTGAGTTCTGTGTGGTACTTATATAGAAATGTGCTAATTGAATGAGGTTTACCTGACTGCAGATGAGATGTTTGCATAATTTTGCCAAAAAAATTCCAAGCTGTTTATTCGTTATCTTAGGCTACAGCATAACTATGGATCTTATTTATATTACTATTATGTAAGAATATTTATCCTGTTTAAACCATCTTCTCTAATTTGGGTGCCCTCTAGATGTGTTGGACTACTGTAACTGCCATCATTCCCCCAACCAGCTGGGCCATGTTAGTCCCTCACCATGCTGGCTTTCAGATATGGGACTTGTAGTTCCTGGAAGGTACCAGGCTGTGCTTAACCTTCTCTTTTGGTCTCTCAAAGCAGCTTACAATAATTAACAGTAAACAGCTCTAAAACAATAGGCTGTGAAATCAACAAATCAGAACAAAATGTGTGGTACAGTAAAAGCAAACCTTGTTACCTAGCCACAACAAAGGGTCTGAACAACTGTTTTTAAAGCTGTAGGTGAATGGGGAGGGGGTTGATTCCAAAAAGACTTGAACAAAAATGGCCATGGGGGGAAGCCCCTAGATCTCACTGCAAACATACAGTGAAGATAGGGCCTTGCTGGCAGGTTTTAGTGCTTTGGGAGATGCAAGAAGTGGGCAGACACAGCAAGTGTGATAAGCACTATTCAAATACTTGGATCAAATTTATTTCAGGCTGTAAAAGTTCTTGGGTGTGTGGTCTGATGGGCAGTAGTAGTCTTGCTCCTTCAGAAGAGATGGGTTCTGCTTTCTCTGGCTACATAGTACAGGAATCTGTCTTGTGACTAGTTGTAACTTCTTTAAACTTTCCAAAGGCAGCTCCATAGTAGAGTGTGTCTGAGTAAGCCATCTGAGGAGGTACCATGGTATGTGTCTGTCTCTCTTTCCGTGGAAAGGGTGCAAACTGACAAATGACTCTTCTTGTCCCTGCTGAAGAGTGTTTTTCAGCCTTGTACATAAGCCTTTAGAGATACCACTCTCTAAAACCAAAAACTACTGGGGGCTGGCGGAAAGGGAAGAAGAGCATTTTCCCTCCTGCAGCTCAGTGCATACACACGCATGCATACAGTGCATGGAATTCCTGTGGCTATTAGCCTAGTACTGAAGCACAAGTGCCAGAGGGGTATTTACATAGCTACTGAAGAGATCTTACATATGTGAGAAGTCTTGTTAGAGGCCTCCACCTGGGTAAGTAAGGATGTGGGAGGAAGAGGGAGAAGGTCCATACTAAATTTATGAAAAAATTTGCTGAACTTTTCTGCCAGCCCACCCTCTTAAACACTGATGCTTTGGTGGTACCACCAGTCAGACTTCTTAACTGGCATGTCATACTGAGGGCCCTTCAGTTCTTGAGGTAACGCCAGGGGATTCATTTCCAGTTTTTCCTCTGTGAAAGGAGAGTTGTAGGAACTTTGAGCTGGATAGATTGTAGGTAATCTGATATTTAGATGAAAATATGCCAGATTAAAAACCCAGTCGTAGATTAATTCAAAAAGGGCATTTCCATGACTGGATTGTGTAATCATTAAAATTTTGCAGGGGACCAACATATGTAGGAAGAGAACAGTGATCAGAAATGTTGCAAAGAAATAAGTCAAGATACTTGTATAGGGAAGTTAACCAGTCTTGTGGAAATGTGTTCCTAGGAGTGCTGGGTAGGTGGTATTTTAAAGGGATCTTGCAGTTAGCTTTACTTTAGGATTGAAAAAGGTATTGGTATGGGAAGGAATATCAATTTTGTAATCATGCTTTACTTAAAACATACCTGTATTTGCTGATTTTATTTGTTTGTTTATTTATAGTTTTTTATATTTTAAGCAGAGCATCGAGCCAAACTTGAACTGAAAACTGGACAAAATCTTTATTTTCCCTGCAGCAGGACCTGAATTGTAGATTAAAAGCCTCAGTTATTCCTAAACTAGAGCCGGCCATTAAAATAACTTACAATTACTTGGTTTGGAATAAGTTTTTGACATGGAATGGATCATGCTGGTTAGAGGTTGCTGCTTTAAAGCTGCAAGCCCCCAGATCAAACTGCAAAGACCCATATGCTGATGGAGTCTGGCAGATGGAGGAATTCCCGTGCATTGCAGAATACTTGTGTACTATAGTAAGCAGGCAGTTTGTATAGCTGTTGAACTTACCTGCAGAATCCATACTTGCTACTCCAATGTCATACTTTCAACTGGCACTGCTCACTTGAACATGATCTCTTCTTGCAAGACACATTACAATGTGTCTGTGATAGGGCCTTGTAGGCTTTATGGAAGCCCAGTGGTCTCATGGAACTAGCTCAGCTGTGATGCCAAATGTTCATTTGCTGCTATGTGAGCTAGCCTGGGCTTGTACCCTCCCATGCTTCCTTTTTCACAGCAGACTGATAAACTATGGGTTGTGCGTGCCTTTCAAATCAGAATTGCACTATGGTTAGTTCCTCATGAAGTGGTAAAGATAGTTTGTTTCAGTGAGTGTTTAAAGCATATTCATTTATTCAGCATTTAGGATGTGCTCTTTGGTTCTGCGCTTGAGCTTATGAGATGCATGATACTCCTCTGCAAGATTTTCTATTTAGAATGTTTAGGCTGCAATCATAAACACACTTGACAGGGAGTAAGCACAATTTGACTCAGTTGGATTTCTTTCTGTGCTGACATGGTTAAGATCATGCTGATAGCGACCTAGAAATGAGATTAGGAAAATATACTACAATATTAATAGTCTTAAATCATAGGTGATTCAGTGTTATAATCTGAATATTTTAAAGCTTCTCTTCCTGAATCTGTTTGCAAGTATTACGCTGGTTACCAAACCTTGTATTAGGTTGAACCAGAACCACTTCAAAATAACCTTAATTGTAACTGAAACTGAAATGGATCATAAGTGTAATAGTGAGCTGGTTTGCACATAATAACACCCCTTGGCTTAAACAAGCCATGGATTATGGTGCACAAGCAGGAGAAGTTGCTGCCTCTTATGTGTCTGTCACTTTCACTTTTAAACAACAACCTATGGTGGCCTCATTTGTAAATTGCTAGTGTGATGTTCAAGCTTGGAAACTTTGGGTTGTTCATAGGTTAATGTTACCCATGGTTTGTTCTTGCATTAACTTTGTTTAACCTATAATTAAGTATCTAGGTTCAGATGTCATGCCAATAGGCTATGTTTATGGGTTGTTTACAGAACCCAGAACACTGCTTGGCAAACAGTCCCATAAGTCATGATTTAATTAACCCATAATTTGCTGCTGAACACCACTGGTACATGCAAACAGTGAATCCTTGGCTTTAAGGGGAGTTGCAGGCTATGTTCACACACAAGGCAACCTGTGTTAGCTGGAACTTAAAGTAGCTTTACCATCTATGTTTTACAGCATCACATACCTGTAAATTGGCAGAAGAGAAGCATGGTCTGTATACCTATTTTGTCAGGGCTGGACATAACATGTATTTTTGAGTAATTC